TCTCTCTCTCTCTCTCTCTCTCTCTCTCTCTCTCTCTCTCTATCTCTGAGGATTGGGAGGCAACTGCGGGAGCTAGGGTAGAGGATACAGGAGGAGGAAGGCAATGGGGTCGTTGGCTTTGATGGAGATTGGGACGAAATCAGTCGCAGGCGGGAGTTCGGGATCTGCGATAGGGAAGGAGATCGGTCCTGGCTTGACTATGGGGGTCGGTTAGAGAGGGAGATGAGGCGTCGGGACAGAGCAGCGAATGGAAGTTTGATCGTGTGGAGTCGGGCGTTGGAAGAGGTCGTGGAAGCAGAGAGCGAGTGAGAGGCCGAATGCTTCTCTTGGTCGGGTATTTAACGACGGGAGCTGGAGTGAGATTGAGGAGATCTCTGCAGACGTGCGATAGGACCATTCGGCGCTGATTGCTGGATATGGGGCACTGTAGCATCGGTGGGATCTCAACTGGACTTGCAGCATGGGCAACGACAGGTAATCATTTTAAGCATTTTTTATTTTGTTTTCTTTTATCTTGATGCAGAGGTCAACAGGTAGCCATGCGAAAGAGTGGTTAACAGATTTACTGCATTGCCCTGTCTCACAGAACCTGGAACATTCCGTCCAGATGAAGAAAAAAAACCAAATGACGAACAGTTTCCTTTAAGAGCCACAGCATGGCACTAAATTTGGGGGCAAACAAGATGCACCACATAATCTTGAATAAATACTGTTATATAAGGTATAACATTAATCCCAAAAAGGAAAATTTTAACATAATGTCAAATCTTTGGGAAATGATCACAAAATTAAATAGATTAGCTGTACTAAATGCTCTTGAAAAATTACAGTTTATAATGTTGTTAAGCCCAACACTGAAAAGTATTTTATACATACTTTAAGCGAACTACGAGAAACACAAATTTATGTGCAGTTCACACAATAAAAAGGTGTCATCTCAAAAATTCTGCGTCATCTGAGGAGCAATGCAGCAGCATAGTATGAAAGTCATAAAAACACAGTAACACTATTTGGCGGTGGTTCACAGGCAGAAAAACTCAGTAGCACAATATTTGACGTGCCAGCTGTGGCCATTCCTTCATTCACGGTAGAAGTTCGCTTATGTAACAACATTAACATTCCATAATCAGAATTCCAACATAGGAAAGTAAAAAATAAAACGATGATTCTAAATGAATCACAATGTCACCAAGCTATTTCATACACTTTTTACACTCAAAAATTTCCTTCAGAAGAAAAGAGAAGAGCAGCTCATTCAATTACAGGCAGTTACAGAGACATAAAGTGGGGAGGAAAGCAATTTTCTCCCACAAATAACTCCAGCTAAGAAAATGTAATAGCAGAATGATAAAACTAAATAGTAGAAATCAATGATGCCAGCAAAACAGAGTATTAAGACCATATCTCAATCCGGATATGACTTGTCAAGATTCAATTCCAAGGAATGCCAATTCAGATATGATTCCTCTCACAGAACTAGTAACACATAAGATGATTGCAAGCTAATTTTCCAATAAATGCACACGTCTCCAGAATATTCCACACATACTCCAGGAAGATATCATCATCCAAAGTCTAAAATACCATTCATTTGTGTTTATTTCGAGAAGCGAAACTGCCATGAGCGTAGAACCATTCATTCATGGACAAACCACAACAACTATATCCCAGTATCAAGTAATCCATTCTCAAGCTCAGGACACCCACCAAAGGTCCCACACACATAAATAGAACGTCTCAAAGCATAGCATCAAAAGAATTCAACAAAATATAGAAGAAAAGTTGCACCATCCAATAATCCATGACCATGATGAGCGAGCTCAAATCAAGATACTTCCAGAGGACATTTAATGCAAAAAAAGCCCAAGTAACTCCTTCACATATATAAAGTAATATTCCTACTCAGCACAAAATCACTTAGACCCATACTTGTCAACGGCGAATGGTGCAACACGGTGCAAAGTTCCCCAAGAGCCATGGTGCACAGCACAAAATGTGGCCATGCCATTTTAAACATGATGTGCAATATAAAATAATTAAAAAATGTATATTTATTATACTATTAAATAGAAAATAATAGGTTGATCAGAACAAAATTTAAGTATAAATATCCTGCCAAACATAAAAAATGGCAACTTTAAATATTACTAAAACTTACATCAATAGATTTGAGCAAGATTTAAGCATAATTTAGTCTAAATCCAGTCAAATAGCAAAAATGATAGCTTTCAATTCTACAAAAAAAGTTAAATCCTTTAAATATTTTTATATTTTATTAATTTGATGTTTAATTAATTAATAATGATGATGATATTAATATATAAAACTTTAAAAATTTTAATTATAATTTATAATTTGAAATTTATAACATATTAAGAAAATAGCGTGAGTCATTTGCGCCTTGCACCATGCATCATTGCCCATGCATGGCGCAAATAGAACGCCCTATTTTGATGAGCCGCGCCACGCCAAGCAAATAGCGTCATATTTGCGCCACATCGTGCGCTATAGCGCATGCCATTTTGCACCATCAACATGTATGATTCAACTACCCAAGGTTTGAAAACTACGCAATCAAGTATTAAGACATTTTTTGTGCATGAGACAAGCCGTAAGTCACAACATTTTGAGGTGATATCTCATAAATTGAACCATTAAATTAATAAAAAATATAAAATAATAAGTAGCAATAAAATATCAAATTAAGAACATTGATTCTCTTTTGTAGTGATATTAAATTTACTTCAATTGTGGTGATATAAAATAAGAACATAACAAGTTAATATACCATAGGTCTATTTGTATGCAGAAGAATGATGAAATAATATTTATTTTGTATATTAAATTTTTAAAGCACCTAAACCCAAAACTTTTTGGCTTGTGCAGCTTACAAATTGTGCTATGTCATGCCTTGAGATGCGCCTCAATCTTACTAAGGCATCCGGCTCACAAACTTTTTATTTTCAAAATTGCATTGAGGTACAGCTTATTACATAATTTTAAACAATGTAACCAGCAAAACATAAAAAATCTGATACGCAAAGTTCACAGGTGCAGAACTACAGACAAAAATTCCAAACAAAGCCCTCTAAAGAACTCCCTATCATAAAAACCATTCCAGATCATCCAACAGAGGTGGTAAAATATATTAAGTCATCTAAGAATTGAGAAGAGTTCCATAAACAAAGCATCCAGCTGAAACCAACCACAAATTTCAAAATTGCCAACTTTTTATTTAACTTTCATAAAATTAGTGAAAAAATGCATGAAAAGCTGCTTAATATTCATCATTGTGCATAAATAGCACAAGACAACGTTGCCACAAAAGCTTATCTCCACTACTATCAGCAATTTGGTAGGGTAACTGCAATTATAACTTCTAATGAAATAGCCAGACGCCACCATTTCATCAAGATTTTAACTTCTGAATACACAGAAAGAAACAATGCAAAGTTTGTTTCCTTTTTACAAGTACTCAAAAACATAATGACTCTCAGAATAGTCAGATTGTAACAGAAAATAACTTCTTTAGATGGATCCAAACCTGGGTTAAATTATGAGTTTATCATCCACTAAACCCCCGAGGAACCAAACCCCAGAGGACCTGAAAAGTGAAAAGAACTACAATTCACCACAAATCAATAAGAACTTCTGAATCTACCTTGTTGCTGACCGGTTCTCCTGTCCCTGATCAAAGCTACTTCAATAACATATCCATGTTCCTCAAATAAAGGACGTAGCTGGAAAAAAAAAGATTGGTTGAGCTAATATGACAACAAATTCTGCCATTATGAGGGTCCTTTCAGTAAGAATGGCGTACTTTCAATAACAAAATTTACATGAATTGTAGTAGATCAAAACTCAATATGAAAAGGATGACAGTTCATTAAATAGATTCTGCACAAGGTTAACATTCATCATGAATGAATCAAAAAAATCCATAAGACCTATACTAAATGTGTGATGTTGCACAGAAACACAAACAGTAATTTAGAATTAGTGTAATTTAAAGCAGCAAAAGTCCAGGCTTCCAGAAGAAGCAACACCAAGCATAGGTCTCCCTCTCTGCCGCAAAATGGAAGGAAAAAAAAATGAAATGGTTATATAACGGCAGAGGTCACATGCCACAATCACTCCACATTATGTGCATTTCCTGATTGTGCGTCCTTTAGCATGGTTCGAAAGTTTAATAAATGCCAGCTCAATAATTTTATTAAATGATGCGGTGAAGATATTTTCCCAGTCCTCAACTTAGCATATTCTTGCGCCCAAATAAATGCAAGCAATTTTCATATTTCCCGAAGTTCCATACTCTTCTTATCTTCCCATCATCCCATCAAAATAAAAATACTAAAAATAGAATTAAAACCATTACCTTCTCACTTGAAAACCCTTTCTCTTTCTCTTCTGCATTCTCTGGCATTCTTTTTTATGTTCTCCATCCACCAACAAATGATAAACAAATATTGAGTGTTCATAACTGCTCAGCTTCCCACTTCGACGTTTTTGCTATTTTCTTCCTTTGTTGCAGGCACATACTTGAATTTCTCTTTCTCCAATTTTGCATTCCCTTCAACAATTTTTTGTAGAATATAATCAGCGTTGCTTGAGAGAAATGAAATGATGTAAGTTTCCCTGATTTCTTAACCAATTATTTCCTATCTCTGCCTCCAATCCAAGATTTTGGGAGAAATAAGATACAAATATCAATATTTTACTATGCAAACCTACTTAAGCTGCTTAAATTGTTTGACGGTCTAGGTCTAACTTTCTGTGTTTTACTTTATTTTAGATGAGAAGCTTGCTGCTAGACAGCTTGACCATGGTTTAGTAGGTTGTTTTGTTTAATATTTTCTAAGGAATACAAAATTTCACAATCTGCATTTGCTTCAAGTATTTACACTTTATGCTTAAGGGTACGCACCAAAACTTGAAATTTAATACTTAACATTTTAAGCTGCTTAATATTTCAGAATAAACTTCGCGACTAAAATTTAATTTAAACTGTGATAAACGTTTTCTTCAATTTTATAAAGTTGTTGACAATTTTTAATAAATTGTAATGTTTTCTCTGTTCAAAGGTAAGGTGTCCAATTATTATTAGAAGAGAGCTTCAATTAACAAAAGTCTGTGTTCTCTTTGCACTAAGCACTTCAAAACAGAAACCCCCTTCGCACTTTTGCATTTTGCATGTTGACAACATTGTTTCTGTTTTAACTTCTAGGATTTCATGCATAAGGAAGGCTTTAAAAAGTTTCCCCTTACAAAAAGGAAACAAAAGAAGACAAAAATATTGTTGCTCAAAAGTTCTACGAGAATGCAAAGCTTTAGGTTATCCAGCCCAAGTAGAAGGCATGCTATAACAAGCATGGGATAGATAGAAAAGAAGTATTCTCTACAGGATCATACTATTATTCACTAATCAAACAAATAATCTATCAAGTTAATCTAACTCAAGAACATGCTACCATTCATTTAGCTAAAGCGGTCATACAGCCAAACATGTACATGAGATCTTTACCCGAAGAAACAGAGAGCATATCACCTAAGCTAGAGTTCATTGGTTGCCTGCCCAAGGCATCAATGCCTTTCATCCCTCAAGAAATTCCTAAGTTCACTCCTGTAACAACTCCCTTGTATCATTCAAATTCCTGTTCTTGAGTTCTCATTTGCAAGTCTTTTTATAAAAATATTTAATTATCCTCAAGAGGTCACTCATTTCGGAGTAAAAAATTAGAATTTCTCAAAAAGGTTGCATCACATGTAATGGTTTATTTGACTATTTTGGATGAAATCTTTAAACTTGGCAACCCTAGTGACTATAGTGCTCCTGCGCATAATCCCTTCCCTTTTATGAGTTATTTTCTTCCCTGCTAATTCATTTAGCATATTCTCCATGTAATTCTTGTCTAAATATCTTCATCAGCATCATCATCAACAACAACAACAAGCCTGTATCCCACTACATGAGGTCGGCTACATTAATCTTTTTTTTTTTTTTCAATGTATCATATTAAGAATCAAATTATCATTTAAATCTAATAAAAAAAATATCATTTTTAATATTTTTAACAAAGTTTTTTAGCTCTAGCTCTACCTTTCTTCACATAAGCCGGATCTAATACATCTACTATCCTAACAGGGTCATCAGAAGGCCAATGTTTTATGTGACCAAACTATCTACGGCGACTCTTCCTAATGTTATATGCCAGTAGAGCTACTCCAACCTTTTCACATATATACTCATTTCACATTCTATGTAAAACCACTCATCCACTTGAGCATCCTCATCTCTACAACACTTAAACTTAATTTTATGCTTCTCCTTTAATGGCCAACATTTTATTCAATAAAGCATTGCAAGTCCCGCCAACATCTTATAAAATTTTCCCTCAAGTTTGAGGGATACTTTTCTATCACGCAATAAGCCTGATGCATTTCTCCACTTCAATCATCCAACTTAAATTATATTAATAATATTCCTATCAATTACACCATTGCTTTGAACAATATATTGAGATATCAAAAGCATGCACTCTTTTTAATGACATGACCACCCTACGTCACAATTCCCCCATTAGATTTATTACTACTAAAAATACACTCCATGTATTTGGTTTTAAATCTACTCAAACAAAAAAATTAGACTCTAAGGTTGACCTCCATAATTTAAGTTTTTCATCAACTCCCTCTCTAGTCTTATCAACAAGAAGAATATCATCAGCAAAAAACATACACCAAGGTACATCCTCTTGCACAAGTCTAGTAAGAACATCCATGACTAAAACAAAAAGATATGGGCTTGAAGTTGATCTTTGATGTAATCCAACTAAAATAAATAATACATGGTCAAACCACCTTGTGTTTGAGCACTAATAATAGCTCATGTATATGCATCCTTAATGACTTGAATGAAAGCATTATTAACTTCGTTCTTTTCTAGAACTCTCTAGAGCACTTCTCTTAAAAGTTTGTCATATGCTTTCTCTGAATCAATAAACATCAATATGTTCATTATCCTTAAAAAAGGAGATGACCAAGGTAGTTCCTCATACCAATAAAAGAATGGTACAAGCATACTTGTCAATGGTGTATAGTGCACCAAAGTGCAGAAATCCCCATAAATCCATACTACATAGTGCATGGAAGACATCATTTTAAGCATAGCACAAAAATTAAAAAAATTATAAATAAAAATTCATATAAATATAAAAGACCATTAAATTGAAAAATAAACCATCATGATTAAAAATAAATAAAAGAAATGCTAAAGTTCAAGTGCTCAACACTTCAACCACTTAAAATTCAAAATATTACAATTTTTTTTCAATAAGGGTAAATAAAGAATTTATGGAGTTGTATTAGGTAAAAGATAAAAGAGTTCAGTTAAAAAAAGGCCTACAGCTAAAAGGGTTTTGGTAAAATTCAAGAATAAGTAAATAATTGAAATAAAAAAGATGTCAACGTAGAATTCTTTAAGCAAAAATAAATTCAAAACTTTTACCTAGCAACCAATAGATTCCAAACACTTCCTGAAATAAACTCTAGTAACTAACAGGGATAATATTTTTGGATCGAGAGACATAAGACAAACAGCGTTCAGCATTCAGAGATGGAAACAAGATGAATGGTATGTGATGCTCAATGTGCTATGCTTGACATGCTTCTTTCTTCAATGCCTAGAATTGAAACCAAACAAAGCAAAGAGGATGCAACACGAGAGCTTTTGTTTTGGTATTGCAGACTGCTCTACACCCTAATACTCTAATAAATTTTAATTGATATAAAATAAAACTAGTAAATAAATAACACAAATACTAATTCTATACCCTAAAATATAAAAATTAAAATAGCACACAATACATTGGCTCTGAACAAAGTGTTGTAGTTCTTACATGGCGCAAATAACGCACGAAACTTTCAACCCCACACCAAGTTAGGCAGATGACGCAGAGGGTATGCTACACCGCGTTGGGCACCAAGGTTAATGCTACCATACGCAATTGATATGTATGAGTACCAGGTTTATGAAATTCAACAATTGGATGCCAAAGATTAGTGGAGAAGAAACAAAATAGAATCTTGCATAGTAGACTTGAGGCTTATCAAACCAAATCGCTGTAAATTTTCATCTCCCTTTAACTTGCATAATTTACATAAATATTTTCATCCTTATATTTAAGCATACAGGAAATTATTAAATAGTCAATTGAAACCCCTTCACTCTCTCAGGAGCATGCACAAGTGATGCATTTAGATTTTTGCATTATTTTTTTGTTATGAACAATATTAGTTATATTTTCTATTTTTTTTTATTTTTTTTTATGCTATCCAATGATGGTGGTAAATCCAATGATCATGGTAGGAAGAGGTTTGGTTTTTGCTTCCTTGGGTTTGCCGGCTTTGGGGGTCCATTTTGTCCTTTGGATGTTTGCTGGTTTCATGAGGGCATTGGCTGTTTCGGTTTGAGCTTAAGTAGTTGAAACATTAGTAGTGCCAGCTCATTAATATCTAGTGGAGGAGTAGCTCATTATGAGCTGATGTTTAGTTATAAAATTAATGTTGGGAGCAAGATTTGGTGGGTGGAACTTGATCTTTCACATTCTTCTTGAATTGGAGTTGCTGCAGCTTTTCTTCTCTGGATTTTTCTCTCACGGGCTGCTGCTCTCTTCGGGTTTGTTGCTGCCTCTTCGGGTGGCTGCCTACTTTACTGCTCTGGCACCTCTTTTTTGACCGAGAA